AGGTGGGGATGTCCAATAAAATTACCTTACCAAGCGGGAATCAAACTCAAGTTGTCTGAGATAAACAGCCATGAACCTTCTTTTTTTTAAAAGTAGTGTTTATTCGCCCTCATTGACGTAATGTAAATCATTTGGGAGGCGGGCTTCGACGCTGAATGACAGGGCCAATCAGGACTGAGGGGGATAAAATGTCTCAGAAGAAACCACGAGGTATACTCAGTAAAAAAAAGACTACCAACATTAAAATTGAACTCATGTCTTCTACATGGAGCAGTGAGGCACCTAACCACTGCACCACATACACTAGTGGGACGTTACTCTACAACGCATGGACTATTAAATAGTTGGATCCATTTGTTAACTCTTTTATTTTCCATATTTCCCAGAAAGATAAGATTGACATTTATAGTTGGATAATAGAACTACAGTAGAAGTTGAAAGAATATGCGGGCGGCAACAGAATAACAGCAATACCACTACCGCCACTACCACCACCATCACCATAATAACCATTACAACAACAGCAACAACAACAACAACAGTTGCTTCCCACACAAGAATCAAACACAGGTCTTCTGAGTCGAACGGTGAAAAGCATAACCGTTACATCACATATGCTGGTCACAAAAACAACAAAAAAAAACTAAATCAAAGGCAATTGTGGTCAAACAGTGTGTCTGGAACTATATTTTCTTGTGGAGTAACACACAGGAAGTGTGTTAATCATTACGTATTTCCATGTTGCAATTTAACAATCCTATATTCTGTGGACAATCAATATGCCCAATGAGATAGGATGAGAGCGAGATGTTACTCAATCTGGTGTTACTGGTTGTATTTGTATGCATGGGAGAGTTTGGGCATTTCTGTTTCTGATTTTAACATAATTTCAGTTATACACTAATAAATGGAAGACACACTGTTTGACTGAGGTCGTTTGTGACAACCAGTACGAACATTCCCGCGAGTCTCACCTTGCAGAATCCGGCAACACAGACTCCGAAGCTGTCGCCGTTGTCGCACCAGGTTCCGTCAACGGCCGAGTCTCTGAGCGTGTGGAGCTGGCCGTACTCGTTCTTGCAGATCAGAGAACACGGGGAGCTGGGGTCTGG